AATAATGATATAGTAGGAGATACACACCAAACAGGATGTGTAAATTATTATATAATAAGTATTGTGCAATAGCAAGAAATTTTCAATTGCACAGTATTGCACAATAGCAAGAAATCTTCAATTGCACAGTATTGCGCAATAGCAAGAAATCTTCAATTGCACAGTATTGCACAATAGCAAGAAATATCCAATAGCACAATACTGCGCAATAGTAAGAAATTGTCAATTGTGAAGTATTGCGCAATAGCAAGAAATATTTAATTGCACAGTATTGTGCAAAAGAAGATACTTCGTATAAATTGCTTATTTCTTGACCAATTTCAATGGGGTTTTGTTCTTGAATTTTTGGGGTTCTTTAATATGCTGAATCTAACCGTGTATTTAGTTTTTGGATTTTGGGCCCCGTTTTTAAATTGGTCCACATTGAGGTCCAAAGGGTCCAAAATTAAACTTTGTTTGATTTCATCAAAAATTGAATTATTGGGGTTCTTTGATATGCCGAATCTAACCGTGTATTTAGATTCTTAATTTTTGGTTCCATTTTCAAATTGGTCTACATTAAGGTCCAAAGGGTCCAAAATTAAACTTAGTTTGATTTTAACAAAAATTGAATTCTTAGGGTTCTTTGATATGCTGAATCTAAACATGTATTTAGATTTTTGATTATGGGCCCAGTTTTCAAGTTGGTCCAAATCAGGGTCCAAAATTAAACTTTGTTTGATTTCAACAAAAATTGAATATATGGGGTTCTTTGATATGCTGAATCTAACCATGTATTTAGATTTTTGATTTTTGGGCCCCGTTATCAACTTTGTCCACATTGAGGTCAAAAGGTCCAAAATTAAACTTTGTTTGATTTCATCAAAAATTAAATTCTTGGGGCTCTTTGATATGCTGAATCTAACCATGTATTTAGATTTTGGATATTGGACCATAATAGGTGAATGTCTAATTTAAAATTTTTAAGTTCTTAGACGTGACATTCATTCTGTGTCAGAAACCTATGCTGTGTCAAATATTTAATCACAATCCAAATGCAAAGCTGTATCAAGCTTGAATGTTGTGTCCATACTTGCCCCAACTGTTCAGGGTTCGACCTCTGCGGTCGTATCAAGCTGCGCCCTGCGGAGCATTTTATTATATTTAAGTCGCAAACAGAAAATCTCAATTTTGCAATACAAAAAATATAGTGGGTCCAGTAAATAATAGTTTTCCAGAACAATTATTTGTCAAGGTCTATACTGTGTCCCATACATTTACTTTTGTTCAACATCATCTAGTAATTTCAATAAATATCAAATGAAAAGACAGACATAAATATGAAATTATGGATTAAAAACGAAGACAAATATATATCAAATGATTGGAATTTCGAAATTTTATTAATTACATGTAATAGATAATGTGACTTGTCTAAACATACAAGAAAATCATTCTAATTTTCAATGGAATGCTACAGAGGTTCAACACTGTGCAGCTACCTGTATATAAATACAGTCGACTCTCGTTATCTCGAAGCCAGTCGGCCCAGAGAAATATCTCGAGATACCGTTAGTTTGACTCAAACGACAGACCAAGGGATACAACTCTTGTTTCGCTTGGTAAGGCTAAAATGAAATATGGGAATGGGGGTCGATATTCTGGTCTGAGATCGATATGTATCTGTATGTAATGTTCTTTAATTATTATAATAAATTCATATGATGTGTCGTCTCTTATTCATTTCTTTGTACAGTTACAATTTTCCCGTAGTTTTTAGCCGAAAGAGTAACTTACAATCGATCTTAGCGTGATCTAAAGTTGACAAATTTGTTAATTCTCGTATACAAGAGATTTTAGAAAATTTAGATTTCAATTAATTGTCTTTTATTTCAATCTTTTTCTGCGAGAGAATGTACAAAAAGATTAAAGACGCCGATTGAGTAGTTTTGAGTTGATCACTAAGTCATAAACAAGCTCATAAATTTATGATTACGGTTAATTGTTTTACAAACATTATGAATAATTTTTCATGACTTTAAAACAATGTACCATTAATTATTTATCATATGATCAAAGATAATCTTAGGAAAACACTCGTGGAAAAAGAAATGTTATAAATCAATACAGTGGTTAGTGACCGGAAGTTTAATTACACGTGTATTGTCAGGTGAACTCTTTAATCAAATTAAATCCCCGAGGTCATGTTTTGACATACGTGTATTAGTTTGAGATAAATAATGGAATTTGAATGCTTTTGTTAACCTTGGGACGGTAAATTTGGTTCGAGTCAACCGAAATTTCGACTCATTAGGAGTCGAAATACATATATTTATATGGAAAAAATTCGGGACCATGGGAAAACTTCGACTCATCCGAGATTTCAAGGCAACCGAGTTCGAGACAACGAGAGTTAACTGTATACACATAGGCAATGTGCCATCTACTTTCAGTGTATACAAAGTGCGATTCCTTAAATACCATTCTAACTGTTCCTGTCATGTATTTCTAATATAGAATGATAAATAAACAGACAAAAAAATTGAAGATTTTTTAATAGATAAAAGATAATAATATATCAAATGTATGGAAAGCCACAGTGAACCCCCCGATTATTATTATTTTTCTTTTAAAAATACATGGATACAAATAAATCTTCGGCTTTTAAAATCCCGCCGATTATTATCAATTCTAAAATCTTCGGCTTTTCAAAATCTTCGGCTTTTCAAAATCTTCGGCTTTCCAAAATCTTCGGCTTTTCAAAATCTACGGCTTTCAAAATCTTCGGCTTTTCAAAATCTTCGGCTTTTCAAAATCTTCGGCTTTCCAAAATCTTCGGCTTTTCAAAATCTACGGCTTTCAAAATCTTCGGCTTTTCAAAATCTTCGGCTTTTCAAAATTCACCGCCGATTATTATATTATAAAATCTTCGGCTTTTAAAAGTCTGAAAATCTTCGGCTTTTCAAAATCTTCGGCTTTCAAAATCTTCGGCTTTTCAAAATCTTCGGCTTTCCAAAATCTTCGGCTTTCCAAAATCTTCGGCTTTTCATAATCTTCGGCTTTTCAAAATCTTCGGCTTTCAAAATCTTCGGCTTTTCAAAATCTTCGGCTTTCCAAAATCTTCGGCTTTCCAAAATCTTCGGCTTTTCATAATCTTCGGCTTTTCAAAATCTTCGGCTTTTTAAAATACACCGCCGATTATTATATTATAAAATCTTCGGCTTTTAAAAGTCTGACCCCCGCCGATTATTATCAATTGTAAAATCTTCGGCTTTTAATCAAGAGCCCGCAGATTATTTTCAATAATAAAATCTTCGGCTTTTATAAACCAAACCAAAAATAATCTCCGGGACCCGAATATTATGATTATATAATCTGCGGGGAAATATAAAAATGCAAAGACTTACATCAAATGCAGACGCGGAACCGAGAAATACATTCGAAACTCTCTAGATTTGCATATTCTGGTTCATTACACCAAGAAAGGTTGAGATAGATAGATAGGTGTTATTGTTGAAAAGACAACTGAAAACCTCAAACACGCAAGCACATGCAGACTATATAGTATGTATGTATATATTTAAGTGTGTGCGTAAGCGTCTGTATGATTTTTAAGCCCCCGTGACAAAATAGGGGTGGGGGTATAAATTAACCCCTGTCCGTCCGTCTGTTCGTCCGTAAGATGCATTGTTTGTCCGGCTATCTCCTACAGTTTTGGAGGTACAACTTTAATATTTCGTAGGATGTTCATACACATAAAAAAGGCGTTCATGGCCAAAGGATTTTGATTTCTTCCAAATGTTGTGACAATTATAGCTGATCACAGGAATCCATGACAAATCGCCCTACTGGCAAATCACCCAACACCTAATCGCCCCACTTTTTCACCAACTCGCCCCACTTCCTAAAAAATCGCCCACACTTGTTTACCAACTCGCACCACTTATGAAAAGGGTAAAATCCCATTGAAAATAGGTTGGATAACTTGCCCCACTTATGAAAAGGGTTAAAATCCCACTGAAACAAGGTCTGCCAACTCGCCCCACTCATGACAAATAGATAAACCACAATGAATTTAGTAATGCCAATTAACTCGCCCCACTTATGGAAAAATCGCCCCACTCTTGTTTACCAACTCGCCCCACTTATGAAAAGGGTAAAATCCCATTGAAAATAGGTTGGATAACTTGCCCCACTTATGAAAAGGGTTAAAATCCCGCTGGAATAAGGTCTGCCAACTCGCCCCACTTATGACAAATAGATAAACCACGATGAATTTAGTAATGCCAACTCGCCCCACTTATGGAAAAAGATGCTATCCCTTTGTATATGTTCCTGACACTTATAAATAAAATCAATACCTATGAAAACCTTAGATAAACATCTTTTGTAATTCTTTTCTTTTTGTTTTTCCTTTCTTTTTGTTTAAATAAAGCAGTAAGAAGTGAGTATCAGTATTTCGGTGACGTGAATGTCAACTTGCCCCACTTGTGAAAAATAGAAAAATCCTGATGAATTGAGTTATGCCAACTCGCCCCACTTATGAAAAATAGGAAAATCCTAATATTGATTGAGTCATGCCAACAAACGAGTGTAGGCCTTCCAATTCGCCCCCCTTATTAAAACGTTAGAAATGCATCTGTTTTTTGTTCTTTCCTTTGGTTGAAATAAAACAGAAAGAAGGTAGCATCAGCATTTATGTGACGTTTTTTTCCTGGTAAATATATTCAATGTTTTATAAGATAAGTCAAGAATCATGTGTGTTTACATAATTTTATTCTCAGATGATAGGTTTGCACATCTACATAAGTATGCATAACAATAACATTTAAAACAAACATACATTAAATCAATTATGACAAGCACTGGCATGATAACATAAAAAGAAGTACTAGATGAAATGTCAGCACTAGAAACAAGAACATGAATACATAGATTAGTTTTCATTAAGCATGTTAAGTGGGGCGAGTTGGCAGACATGAAAATTATATATTCATCTAAATATTACCGTTTTTCATTAAGTGGGACGAGTTGGCAGGCATGAAAATTATATATTCATCTAGATACATGTTACCGTTTTTCATTAAGTGGGGCGAGTTGGCAGGAGTAATATTAACGAGATTTAACCCTTTTCACAAGTGGGGCGATTTTTTAAAAAGTGGGGCGAGTTGGTAAACCAGTTTGGGGCGATACAAATTGTTTCGTCTCTAAGAAAAAAGTTAGATTTCCACTACTACTTTTACTAAATAGGCACAATTTGTGGACACTCGGTGCAATTTGGGTACTGTGACTTTATATATATATATATATATATATATATATGAGTGTGTGTGCAATAGATTGGGCGTCTGTATCGACAAAATAGGCTGGGGATATTTATTTACCCCAGTCCGTCTGTAAGATACATACTCAATCGTAAAGTTCGTCTGCCTATCTCTTACAGTTTGGGAGGTATAACTTTATCATTTTGTTGGATGCTCATACACATAATGCAGGTGGGCATGGCCACAGGATTTTTTACCTACCTTGCATTAGATGTCCTTTTTCAGCTTGGTAATACTATGTTAACACTAAGAGTTATAGTTCAATTAATGATCAGCTTCATAAACATCTACAAAAACATGCAAATAAAACATTTTAATCACCAATTGATATCTTATGGCATGTATGGCAAAGAAACATTGTCCTTACATCACTTTTTCTGTGTCATGTACCATGCAGGATTATGAAAAAGGATTTTTGAAGGAAAGTGCCAGTGGTACTCATAAATTTTTGCCATCAAAAGTCCAACAGTCATGACAGTGAGAAGGAGAAATTTTTTCAATTTTGAATTCTTAATTAGGTTTTCATGACAAAGGAGAGATAGAAAAGAACATCACATCAAAAGTAATTTAATTTTTTTGTCATAAAATGATGATTTGTTAATTTTGATCTTTTGTTGTAATGTAATACACATAGCATTTTCATGCTGAAATTAGCAATTTTTCCAACTTCAAAAATTTAATTTAACCATAACATTGCCATACAAATGTATATATTTCATTTATGTTTCAGTTGCAATGTACTGCCAACACTGTGGGGAAAATCTTCCCAATACTGCACACTTTTGCACAGAATGTGGCAAGTCAGTCACATCATCATCAGGTAAGAGATATTTACACATGTGTTTAATTAGTGCATGTGCACTTCACAAAGTGATAATTTAACATTTATAATTCCCTTAAAATCACATTATGAAATTGTTTTTTTAATTGGAACAGACAGAATATATACATGAATAAAACATTTAGGGTTTCTTAAATCTTTCATTACACGACAAAACTAGATGTTCTTAAGAGCCTGAATTGCTCACCTGGCTTTAATTGGTTTATTTGAACATATAAAAAGACATTTGTATGTATTTTCCATGAATGGAAATGTGGAATGTGTCAAAGAGCGACAACCCGACCATAAAGCAGACAACAGCCGAAGGCCACCAATGGGTCTATTATGTTTAAAAAAAAAAATTATAATCGCTCGCCTTTACTTTTCAAGCTTCGCCTCAAAAATTTGCAAATTAAATATTTTTTTATAAAAATTTTCAAATTGCTCACTCGCCCCAATTTTTGGAGTCCAAAAATCCGTAGAACAAGAAATTAAATTGGTGTGGCCTAACTGTATTGTTTGGTATTATTCAACCTGTTATTGTATAAATAAATTTGTATTATTTAGATGTTATTTATAAGTTAACTAAATATTTATTCAAATGTATTTCTTGCAGAATCTGAAAGCTTAAAAATGTCAACAGAATTATCCTCAGGTTTGTAGACTTATGATGAAGTGTGCTAGAATTTCTTATTAAGCATGTGCAAAATGTGAAATGAATTATCTTTGAAATAATATAGGCATATACAGACAATTTGTTCAAGTCTTCCAAAAATGAGTATATTTCATACATGTTTGTAAGTTTGTTATAGACTTTCGAAAGGAACTGATTGAACTTAAAAAAATAAACAAACTCTGGGCGAAAAAAAAAATGCTGGATGAGCCTTGCAAAGAAATAATAGGCAAGATTGAATTGATATTCCCAACAGACTTTTTCTATGTGACATTTAATCTGAATTGATGAAAGTTACAGACACTTGTTTAAATATTAAGGAGGTTTGCTGCTATAAAATTCTTAAAATAACTTATATCAGTTTTGTTTTCAAAATTTATTATTTTACAAAGATATAAGAAGATGTGGTATGAGTGCCAATGAGACAACTCTCCATCCAAGTCATGATTTGTAAAAGACAACAATTTCAGGTCAAAGTAGGGTACATGTACACATATTTTGTACCTAAATGTAAGTATGATTTGTAATGATTTATTACAAATCACTCAGACACACATATAAATGTGTAACATGAGGTCAAAAATATAATACAATATATGCAAATAACATGACAGAAGAATATTTAAACATATTAAAGTCAATACATAGCTCTTCAGAATCCAACAGTGTGAATGATTATGAAAAAAGATATACAACATATATATATATATATAGATGGATATGACATAAATCAAAGATATATATTAACTTTTCTGATGAACAAGGGTAGCTTTTTATATAGTTCAGTATTACAATAAGACAGTAAACCTTCAAACTTGATGATGCTTGGATGAGCTGTGTAGCACATAGGTATGTACTTGTTTCTTAATGACACAATATTTTCATTTTTACATATCAGCAAAATATGGAATTCATCTTCATTACCATTTTGATAGGAGGCATTTGTATAGCAGCTCTTTATTTATCATTTGTACACAAGTTACATTTTCTTTCCTCCCTTGGGATATTGTACTTGTAGATTCATAATATGACATAAAATTAGGGGTCATTCATTTAATTGCATGAAAAGCAATCATGAATAGTGATTTTAACTGCTTTTCTGTGGTAATTCAAGGCAAATTTGGTTTTTAGATCTTTGTTTTTGAACTTAGATTTGTCAAATTACATTAAGTTTCGATCTACTGTATACGAACAGATTAGAAATATTATAAATCATAAATGATTTTGAAAATTTAACCCAGCGAAACTACTTCAGAGGGAACTTTTTGGTCTTTCTTTATAAACCAAACAAAAAATCAGAAATCATTTGGACAGGATATAGATTTATTTTCTTTTTGTAGATGGTAGAAGAAGTCTTGACGCTTTAAGGAAAAGATTTCTCAATAGCAAGTCTGAAGCTTCTCCACCCAAAAAAAGCTGTGTGAAGCCAGCTTTAAAAAAGAAAGAGACAACAGAGGTAAAATATTTTTGTGGTTTAGTATTTGATCACTTATTATGCATCACCTATGACAGTAGAGGTGCATTATGTTTTCTGGTCTGTGTGTCCCTCTTTGTATCCTTTTGTCAGTTTTTTCTGTCTGGTATCAGGTTAAAGTCCTTTTTTATGAAGTTCTAGTAACAGCTTCTTGAAACTTAGTATACCAGCTCTATAATTAGTCAAACCACAAGATCTGATCATATTCACCTAGCCTGTTTCAACCTATTCAATTATTATAAAATGTCTAATAGCAATATATCAAACATCTCCTTAATAACCTCATAACAGGAAATGCCAGTTTGGCTTAAGATCAATTGAAGGTTTCTGCATGCCTGATATAATTTAGAAAAATAAACTTTTTCCAATAAGCTCAGCAACACATTTTTCTGACAAGTTGAACAACACAATCACAAAAACAAATATACTTAGATAAATTCATAATCCACTTCAGTATCTTTCAAACCTGGGCCAGCACCTTTTTATCTTATTTTTTTATTATAATTAGTATTTTTCTACTGGATTTTGACAATGATATGAATAATACCTAATGCAAATCTATTTTTATACGACCGCAAAATTTTCGGTCGTATATTGGTATGATGTTTCGTCGTCATCATCAGACACATTGGTTTTTTACACAATATCTTTAGTTTAAGTGAATGAATCTTTATGAAATTTTACCATAAGGTTCAATACAACAAAAGGAAGGTTGGGATTGATTTTGGGGGTTATGGTACCAACAGTTAAGGAATTAGGGGCCAAAAAAAAGCATTTTTGTAACTTCCAGACAATAACTAGTGTGTTAGTGTATGGATCTCTCTGATATTGTACCACAAGATTCCATATCACAAAAGGAATGTTGGGATTGATTTTGGGGGTAATTGCCTCAAAATTTTAGGAATTGGGGGCCAAAAAAAGGGACAAAAAACAAGCATTTTTCTAGTTTCTTGACAATAACTTGCGTGTAAGTGTATGGATCTTTATGAAATTGTACTACAAGGTTCCATATCACAATGGGAAAGCTGGAATTGAGTTTGGGGGTAATTGCCCAAAACGTTTAGGAAAAAGGGGCCAAAAATAAGCATTTTTCTAGTTTCCAGACAATAACTTGTGGTCAAGTGTATGGATCTCTCTGAAATTGTATTGCAAGGTACCATAACACAAAGGGAAGGCTGGGATTGAGTTTGGGGGTGCTGAATCATAAGGGGGTTCAAAAAATTTTGGGGTGGGGGGATGGATTTTTTTTGGTCCAAAATTAAACTTAGTTTGATTTTAACAAAAATTGAATTCTTGGGGTTCTTTGATATGCCAAATCTAACCGTGTATTTATATTTTTAATATTGGGTCCTGTTTTTTAAATTGGTCTACATTAAGGTCCAAAGGGTCCAAAATTTAACTTAGTTTGATTTTAACAAAAATTGAATTCATGGGGTTCTTTGATATGCTGAATCTAAACATGTGTTTAGATTTTAGATTATGGGCCCAGTTTTCAAGTGTGTCCAAATTGGGGTCAAAAATTAAACTTTGTTTGATTTAAAAAAAAAAAAAATATATGGGGTCCTTTGATATGCTGAATCTAACCATGTATTTAGATTTTTGATTTTTGGGCCCCGTTATCAAATTGGTACACATTGAGAACAAAAGGGTCCAAAATTAAAGTTTGTTTGATTTTATCAAAAATTGAATTCTTTGGATTCTTTGATATGCTGAATCTAACCATGTATTTAGATTTTGGATATTGGTCCATAATCGGTAAATTAAATTTTTTTAAGTTCTTAGACCACATTCATTCTGTGTCAGAAACCTATGCTGTGTCAAATATTTAATCACAATCCAAATTCAGAGCTGTATCAAGCTTGAATGTTGTGTCCATACTTGCCCCAACTGTTCAGGGTTCAACCTCTGCTGTCATATCAAGCTGCGCCCAGCGGAGCATTTTATTCATTATTAGATATATATCAGCAGGGTCATTTTTATACAGTCATCTATTATGTTATGAAGTAAAGTCCTAAACATTATCGTAATTTAACATAAATGAAATGATTTGTATCTGATATAAAATCCTTATTGCATTTCCAAATCTTACAAATGTTCTCCTAGGGAATACTCCTAAAACAAACTTTGCATGAAAGCATCTTTCATTTTTTTCTTACTTAATTTTATAGGATATACAAGTGCATTTACAAGTTCAAATTTTGGACAGGCATGACATAGCAGTTAAGAGGGTTTTCCCTACTTCAGAAGATATCTTATCAGGCAAGATATCTATTACAGTGCCGATCAAGTCAACTGGTGTCTACTGGATAAACAAAGTTCAGGAATATTTTCATGGAAATTATAATTTACAGCTTATGAGAGTTTGTTCTTTTGGTTATAGTGTGGTTGAAAACCCAGAAGATTACAATATTGCTAATTTGAAGTGTGAGATGAAAAAGTTAAAGAAGAAGGCCAGTGATTTGCAAGCATATGTTAAATTTGTAGACAAAGGTAAATGATGTTGTAATTCTGCTCGATTTTTTGAAAACTAAAAAGAAAGAATTTAAATGAATAACCCATCAAATATCAGCAATGTCAAAATATTTGCACGACCCCCTTTGGTAGTTATTGCCCTCACTTGGGATTAAAAACCAGAAATTGTCAGCTGGATAACATTACAAAATTTTAATTAACTGTACTGTTAAATACGGATATGTCTTGTTATTGTCAATAATGATTAATTTTATCAATTTGTTTCAATTTTTGTACACCTGTCTTAAATGAAATGATTAAAATTTTTATATACTTGTGTGTCAAAGTGTTGCTTACAAGGATTTGAAAACTTTGCATAATGATATCTGTTCAAAAGACTTTCATGGATCCTCATGTTTTTGTTACATTGATCATGTTGATACACACCTTCAAATTTTGAAGGCTTAAGTTTCTTTTGCAAATGTAATAATAACTGGATCAGAAAGTAGAATGGAGTGTAGTCAGAGCCTAGTAAGCAAAGCGTAGACACAGGATTTGAATTTAACTCACATTGTGTCCTTCATTAATAAAATTTGATGAACCAATTCAAAGGAACATGTAATTCTTTAAATTTATAATATATAATTGACCTCAGAAAGGTCCCTTTGTTTGATAACTTCAAATTTTGACATTCTCGAGGTACAGTTCACTATAAGTTGAGAATTATCATAAATGTGTGTACCATAACCATCATCAATCAATTTGAATTGATCTTTTATGAAATTGTAACACACATGTCAGATTGATTAAAGAAAGCTTCCTTTTCATTTTGATGATTTTATGTCAATTGCCATGCTTAAATCATTAAAATTTCATCATTTTGTTTAATGTAGAACCATAGTTTTAATTTGCTTTTATTAATTTTATTGAAATTTAGTTGCAACACTCAGATTAATAGCAAAAAGCTACATTTCAATTCAGATGAATTTCAATAGTGTCATTTACTAATTGATGTCGAGTTGTGGGACTTTATTTAAGCAAAATATAATTTGCTATTTGCACAGCTCTGTATTGCTTTGTGTCATTATCTTGGATACTACGACAGATGGAGAGAGATTGCTACATTCTTTAATTTTTAGCATGGTTATTTATACATTTAAATTCAAAAGTCAAAAATTAACGTTTAGTCATATGAACATGTTGAAGCGTTATGTACTAATGAAGTCTTTGTGTTTTTCACCATTTTCATGGTTGGCAAAACAATTATAAAAGATACAATATAACAAGTAACTGAGTGTTCACTGTCACTTGTGTAAGAATATGAGCAATTCCAGATTTGATTAAAAAAATTAAAAAGTTTATGACCATGATGACCTGTTGCAGGAATCAGAAGTTCAGTCCATATATGGAACATAAAATTTATATTTTAGAAACCTTTAATTCAACTTTTTGTATTATTTTGCTTTTTTTAAATCAGTTGTTGTAACTTGAAGTTATTACTTGAAGCATATTACTTTACATCACTTTATATGTTCTTGTGATTAGTGGGATTTTAGAATTCATTTGATTTTATTTTTCTCTCCCAGAACGCTCACAACTTAAGAAGATAGTTACATGTAATCAGTCACAGGCAGGACAGGTGCTTTTCTCTTACTAAGAATAAATTTGTTTTGTTTTTGTTTTTGTTTTGTTTTGTTTCTTTTAATTAAAGGATATTCAGATATTCCAGTTATCAGTTTTAATGGTTAATAATATATTTAATTATAGCCTTTATGTGCCAAAATAATTTACATCTGTTCTTTTTTTTACTATTCACTGGAATTTCCTTAACTTCCTTCAAAAAAATATTTTCTTCTGTTTGGTAAATGCATTTGTTTGTTAACTTAACATTTTCAGGGCAAAGAGACAAATTAGAATTGACTGTTTGTTTTACCAAACTATAACATAAAACCTCTCTTAACAAATCATAGAAGATATTATACTTAAATACACTTTTGTTTTTTTTAAATTCCATATGTAATATTATATTTATTAACATTTCCTTTAATGGTCATTACCATTTTTCAGTGAGTTTAAAAAAGAGATGATAGGTAATTTGTGAAAATGATAGGGATAGAACAATCAACATTGTGTACTATTTTTATATATAATTTATATTAAACTAGACTGTTACCTACTTGATAAAGAAATGTAAAAATAAAAAGGCTAACAATGTATATGTGTAAGAATTCACTAAGCGAGGATTTTATCATTTTTTTGTGTCAACAGTCTGCTTGTAGCTTTAAAATCATTGTTCTTCTGTTGAAATTTATCGAATCAATTTTATTTTGTAAAAGTAAACATTAAAAACTGTCTTCAATTATGTTTCAAATGTTCATACCAGCTGATTTTTTGGAACAAAGAGCATAACCTTGCATACACCTGCTTACTTTGCCTGTTGTGTTCTTGGTTATCTATATAACCAAGTCAATTTTTTCTGTGTCAAAATGTTGATTAAATTTTGTGTTTTTTTTATCATCAGATTCACATGACTGTAACTTAATTCACTTATCATAATTTTAGGAAAGATCATGTGTCAAAAAAGATAAAGATCATGTTACCAGGGTAACAGAATCAAGGACAACTTCAACTACTGCTGTCCAGGTACTACATGTATATGGTGGTATTTTTTTCCTAGTTTTCCAATCAAAGGTCGTGGTTTTCTACAGGCACTCAAGCTCGTGTATATTAACCAGAGGATGTCTCATAATATATGTACAACTTCCTCAAAGTCAAAAACTTTCACAGCGTAGCCCACAGAGATTGTTCCCATCTAAATGATATCTAGTTCTATTTGCTTTGAATGTAATTGTGAAGAAATTCTCAACATTTGAAATATACTGTTGGATATGCCCTGAAGCACAAATCATATCAAAAGTTTGGTTTATAGACAGATTATATAGTTATTGAAATACTGATTAATTGTATGATTAAAATATAGAGAAATATTTGATGCTCAGTAGTTAGGCTTCTTGATTTATTGGCAAACGGCATTTAAAGTTATTTCTGTGTAATTTCTAACAAACCTTATGATTGATGAGCATGATGAGTTCACTGTTATTATTGTAGGATAAATCTATTGAGATGAAAATAAGAAAAGAAGACGGAGCCATCAAAACAGTTGCATTTCAGGTAAATAAGTGTCTCTTTGGAGATTCTACCTATATTTTCCCATTATACCATATGGATTATTTTACTTTCTTATTTCACACAAGAACTTTTTAAATAATTTTTACATGTAGTAATAGCTGTGTTTTTCTCAATTAAACATTGGCTTTACTTTTATTTATTTTTTCACACTTTCAAACTGTTACCATTTTTTGGGGATTTCCCCCTTGAAAGCTCAAAATTAAATTTTAGAAAGAGCAATTTTGTCCAACATTAAAAACAAAACATTCAGTTAACAACAGCTATATAGGTTTGAAAAAGTATAAAAAGCCAACTTACAACATTAGAATGAATTGTATGCCCCCTTTATGGTTTTGTGGAGAACGCAACTTTTGTCGCAGAAAGCTTGACATATGGATAGTGATCCTGCTTCAGCATTAGCTAACTTCTTAAGGTGTAAATGCCCAACTGACAAATTTCACCTGACCTTGACCTCATTTTCATTGTTCAATGGTTTTTATACTACTGCAAAAAATTTTTGCGGTCGTATATTGGTATGACGTTGGCGTCGTCGTTGTTGTTGTTGTCGTCCAAAGACACATCGGTTTTCGCACAATAACTTTAGTTTAAATAAATGGATCTCTATGAAATTTTACCATAAGGTTCAATACCACAAAAGGAAGGTTTGAATTGATTTTGGGGGTTATGGTACCAACAGTTAAGGAATTAGGGGTCAAAAATAAGTATTTTTGTAACTTCCAGACAATAACTTGTGTTTAAGTGTAGGAATCTCTCTGAAATTGTACCACAAGTTTCCATACCACAAAGGGATGGTTAGGATTGGCTTTTGGGGGTTATGGTTCAAACTGTTTAGGAATTAGGGGCCAAAAAAGGGGGGGAAAACAAGGGTTTTCCTGGTTAATGGACAATTTAAAGCAGTGTAAGGGAGGTAATCCAAAAACAAAATTGTACAATGTTGTACAATGTTGGATTACCTCCCTTACACTGCTTTTAAATTATCTATTTCAGACTTTTATGATGTATTTAAATGGGTAATTATGGTTGCAAACTCCATTGGTAATTTGAATTGAGATTATGACCATATCTTGAGGGAAAGAATTTTTTTTTTTTTAAAGGGGGGGGGGGGGGGGGGGGGGGGGTTAAAAAAGAAATTGTGGGGTGGCAATTTTTTCTCATTTCAGATTTCAGAAATTAAACAAAATTTCTTCTTTTATTTACTTTCACATATAAAAAAGGAGGGATTTTTTGGAGTGGGGGAAGGGGGGGTCAATACACAACAGCATAGTGTATTGCACAAAAGCAAAAAAAAAAATGGGTTAATTTTTATTAATTTTTTTTTTTTTGGGGGGGGGGGGGAGGGGGTCAATTCACACTTAGAATTGGTTATATGATTTGAATTTATATTCAGTTTTTTGCTTTTGTGCCTACAGTGTATTGCATAAAAGCAAAAAATTGAATATAAATTCAAATCATATAACCAATTCTAAGTTCTTTGACTACAGTTATTCTGTGTTAGAAACCTATTATGTGTCAAATATTTAATTACAATCCAAATTAAGACCTGTATCAAGCCTGAATATTGTGTCCATTTTTGACCCAACTGTTCAGGGTTGGACCTCTGCAGCCGTATCCAGCTGCACTGGCGAAGCAATTTATTAGTTAAGTTGTTCGTGTTTTTGTTTATTTTTCAAATACTGTTTGCAATAGGTCTACTATATTTGGTGTATGAAAATATTTTATGATGTACATGTCAGTCAGGCATATTTTATTTGACCTTGACCTGATTTTTACAGTTCATTCATTGCTCGGTGTTAAGTTTTTAAAGGCAGTGCTTTAATGCCTTTCTAGTTGCCGTGTTAATCTTTCTTTCCGCGATATCCAACTTCTCTACGTGGGGGGTCATTAGGCTCCAAGTAGATCCGGAAAATGTTGATTCTCTCCTCTTCTTATTGTGATATAAAATGTTTTTTGTTTCATTTCATTTACATTGGGAAATAGAGAAAAGATCATTTTGTTTTGTTAGTTTTAAAAACTTTTGATATATTTGTATTTTACATTTTAAGCAGTCAACCGATTGACAAACTAGAATTATTTGAATTCCGTGTGTAAAGAGGTCGGGTTAATTTCGAGTGTTATCTGCAATCTAGATGTTTATAATTCATTTCAGTCGTTGATATAATAATTAAAGGTCGACTGAACATGAATTATATTATACAATTTAAAGCGCATTTCTGTTTATGCACGCGAACCCGTCTAACGTTATTGTTATTTCGCAGTTATATAAAGTAGCAAATTATCGTTCCTGAATAGGTGGCGCCTTGGTAGCCGATCCTGTTATTCAACTTCCGGTTTCTGCACTGTGCAACTATTACAGTTGCATTTTTAATTAACGATGCCAAGTACTTGTTGTTGTGTACCTGGATGTCATTTAAGAGGAGGACATGCATCTCCAAATGACTTAAAAAGAAGGAAAAGTTGGATCAACGCCATGGCCCATACGCAGATTGGACGAGAACACGGTAAAATCGTGGAGTCCATCTCAATCAGCTGTTGTTTGCAAGGCACATTTTACTGAAAAAGACTACGTGCAGGAAATTATTCATGGTAAAACTCTATTTTCTTTTTAAAATATATAGTTATATATGTAATCGCCATGCGAATAAACCAAAGTCTGTTTACAACCGCAATTATCGTTTTAGAATAAAAGGGGGTGGTTAATTCAAGACGTCATAATATTTTGGATTACGATTCAATGTGAACTGTTTGAGATTTTTTGGTGCTTGCTACAATTATAATGATTTCTTACAAGAGGTATATCATACTGAGAATTATTTTAGCAGTAATTATGCTAATGTAGTAATGACAGGAATGCATAAGCTATGCCTCATAGACTTTCTTGAAAAATATCAATGACAATGTTAACAGGAACAAAACAATGACATGCTCTCATCTGAATTATAGTTATCTCGTACCATTGTAAACTCGTACCAATGTCAACTCGTACCACTAAAAAAAAACTCGTACCAATGCAAACTCGTACCGAATTCTAGACAGTTCGGTACCCAGACAAATCGGCATCCGGACAAATCGGCACCCGAGAAAACCACTTCGGCACCCAGACAAATCGGCACCTAGACAAATCGGCCATCTAACATAGACAAATCAGAACCTTATAAAGATAAACCTTGATCAAAATATAGTGAACCAAACATTTAAGTTACCTGGCACTGATATATGTATGTGGGTATGAACTCAATTTACAAGTTTAGTGTTAATATAGCGATTATGTTTGACTGTTTTTACAAATTACCAATTTAATTCCTGCACTATTTATGACATTATTGTCAATATTGTATATGGTATCTTCGAAGAAGTATCTTATTCTTTTTGTTTTTATTTTATTTGTGAAGACTGTATTGCAGCTTAGTCATTTGGATAGCTGTCTTGTCAACTTATTCGTAGGTCTAATTTTGTTGAACATTTTTGTCACTTAAAGTTTCCCTTCATCTATTATACTTTCTTAAAAAAAACTTGAAAATGTTAATTTAAAAAAAAATGCATTTCAAGCCAATAACTCCTATAAGGGATAAATTTACAATTTCGGTCAGTTAACTTAGTTAACTTAGTTGTAGATCTCAACTTGCTGGCCATTTTTGCTGTTCAAAATTTTTCTTTATCAGCATTTAAGATAATAATAATAAAAAAAAAAAAAAAAAAAAAAAAAAAAAACAGATATTTCGTAAAATTTATAATTCCAGATGCAATAACTGCAAATAGGGTTGTCCAATTGGTTTGAAAAATTACGTGGCAGATAAATCTTAACATGCTTATCATTTTTATCCTTATAAAAATAAGGAGATGAGGTATGATTGCCAATGAGACAACTATCCACCAAAGTTCAAATAAAGTGGATGTAAGCAATTATAGGCAACCGTACGGCCTTCAACAATGTAAATGTAAGCAGCCATGCTCAGTTAATTGTAGATATTAAATCAGATACCTTGTGTAGGGAGAATGTAGCAATTCACTCTTTCATGGTGCCATCAGTTGTATTTTGGAAGGCAACATTTTTTTTAAATTTCCGCAACTTTTATTTAAAACGGCCTCTATTACATAACGGAGATTGCAGTAGTTTCTAACTGAAGTCATAAACAAATCGGTCTTCACACGCTCTTATTTTTTCCCATCATAGAATTTCCGTAAACGTTATTGATTTTTTTTAGGACATACATGTATTGGCGCTAAAAGACGTTTTTACTCATTATGGCTTGCACGCGCTTTTATGTTTATGGGTTTTAATATTAAAACAATAAAATATAGTTTTCAGGTATTGTGTTGTCTTTACAGATGTAAGGATCAAACAAGAACACAAGCTGAAACACAAGCTATACACTTTCGATCTCTCATTTGTCTCTATTGAGAAATTATCAGATTTATACATAAAATACTGATTAATTAAATGATGTTTATTCAAAAACACCGTCATATCTAACAATCAATTATGATTTAATTAAATGATGTTTTACTATTCATACACAATCATTTAGGATTTAATTAAATGATGATTTCAAATTTTGTTATTGCATATTTTATCAACGGATTATAATATTACGGTAACAATTCTTTTATTTTTCCTAATATATATATTTAAAAAAATGAGGTGCCGAATTGTCTTGGTCCCGAAATGTCCGGATCCCGAATTGTCCAAAATGGATGCCGAAATGTCTTCGGACTTGGGTGCCGATTTGTCTGGGTGCCGGAATGTCTTGTTACCACTCGTACCACTGCTAACTCGTACCACGGTAAATTCATACCATTGTAAACTCGTACCAACTTATTTAAATGCATTCAAATGGTGTTTAATGATGAATATATACTTTAATTTCCCTCAATACCTCGTAAATCTTTAAAGTGTATATAATTTGAAATTACAATGACCAATTTGTAGCTAATTTTCCTTGTCTAATTGGATAGAGAAAACCGTGGCAGATTGGCTTTGTTGT